TATCAAATTAATCCCTTGGCAGTGATACTAGTGGACTCATTACCAAATTAAATGTTCATATAGTCAATAACTAAAACATTTATAAATATTACATAATGCGTAAATTATTGTTTCTGTGACGAGAACGTTAAATGACATTTTTGTATGCGAATAAACGTAACTAAAGCTTATTATTTTCGCAAAACATACGACCTCCCTACTGAGATATCATTAGATTTTCGGAGTGCTTTGTACCATGCAAAGTACGTGTAGTACGTCATAGTTTAAACGCTGGTATTCCAAAATCTCCCAGTACGTTCCTTACATGCATAATTGCTTGACTGTGGTTGGTCCTGGTTATTAAAGAGCGTCCAAAACTTTGCTGTACAGAGAGTGAATACCTGTATGCGCAGCAACATTTCTGTTGCTGAGCAGTGTTGCGATTCAATACATTGATAGATTTAATCTGACCTCTGTCGATATGTTAGTTTTTCTTATTTGAAGGCAGAAATTTTTAGGGTGTCGTAGGGTTCGGAAACATCACCAATGAGTATATTGGGTGTAACAGTGCTGTTGAAATCGCATGGCAGTTCTTTCACCAGCTCGAGTAATCGCTCATGTGGGTCCGTCATACCATGCCCACAGAAGTCGGCTTTGGCGTATCAGAACAAGCCTTCAGTATTATCTAGCCAAAATGAAATGAGTTGATAGATGGTAGTGTGGAGATAATTAACATAGACTTGTTTTGTTATTGAGTTTTGTCATTGCTCTCATTTTTTATTATTCCTCATAGTTCGTACAATTAGCACTTCTGGCTGTGAAAAATGTTTAGAAATACAGAAGTTTAACCCTTGATCTTCCGTTCCTGTTTTCTGAACTACCATTGCATGACACAGTGATAATCGCTCAAAAATACACTGCTGCACACATATACCGCTTGTTCTCAATTATCCGCGGTCATGATAACGGACTGTGATATATTTTCTATCTGTGTATACGGGTCACATCGATACTCTCATTAAGTAATTAATCTGAATACATACCGACTGCTTATAACTGTGGATTACAAGACCAACAGGAAACTCGAGCACGTCTACTCCCGACAATTAAAGTAACTCCTCGTATATTTTTCTCTGTGTCTAGTTTATATTTCCTATATTAACAAGTTAATTTCTGTAATAAAGTTTTCATTATTTTGGAATTGATACATTTAGTCCAACATTGGCACGTAAGATTCGTGATCACAAACAGTTGGGTATCTGTCCCGTCGCAATAATGATAAAATATATTACTGGACGAAAAACGTAAGAGAATACAAAAATAAGATCACGATATGCAAATGTAAAACTTGATAGTATGATGTTACAAATAGTAATAGACTTGTAGAACTATGGCCTACTTCGTTATTAGTATTATCATAATAATAAACCCAATCCTAAAAGCACAGAGTTGTCATTACGTGACCAATTAAATCACATGATCGGCAGTATGCTTGGCATTTGTAAAGAACGTTTTTGGGTTGGAGACAGAACAATATATTTAATATGAATGAAAGAGATCTGTTACACAAGAATGACCACGGCTGAAATGCTGAGCCATGCCATCCGATTGGTTCTCGAAACAATGTTCCCGCGTTCACCATTGTTGGTCTTTTCTCCGTGAAATATTGAATATCTATCCTCTCAGTTGTCTCAAGTTCAGCTTTGAGGATTGTGTGGCTAGTACCAATACCACTACAGACTAACGGTTTATTATTTGGTATACCAGATCACACCGGACTCACTGTAACGCTTTTGTACACAACGCCTTTATAATCAAAGGTTACCAGACCACTCAAACCAGAAGTGAGAGATGGGTGAGTTCAGAGGTATATTTGCAAGGTTATCTATATTTTTAGAAGCGTTCGATGTAAGCTGAGTAGTGGTTGCAAATGATACATAGCACGACTTACCCACTTGTAATTTAATGTGGATGCGTGAGGGAGCACCTTTAGCTAGGGTGTATCCAGTAAAACTAATGAGGTCAGCTTCCATGTTGAAAACACACAGAACGTTTTATTTTGGAAACTCATTTACCACCGCATATTCCTCCTTCGTTTCAGTTTGGAAAGAACATGAGGCTGGGTGGCCTATGTTAATCTTGGCAATGATAGTCTCCCAGTTTGTCGAACCTTATTTTGAAAAAGTCGACGGATGAAGCCTCAACTACACGTGAGTTAATGAATTCCACTAATTGATGATTCTATGGGAAAGTCGATAGTCAGCTGACAAGTAATTTGTTCTGGATTTGTGAACTTTTTGGAGTACCTCGTAAATTCTCTGTTTTGGAAGACAAGAAAAATGAGGGCATATCAGGTGCAAATTTATCACTATGCAATTTGAAAACTGTAATCATGTCACCTCTAGTTCTTCTCTATGACAACGGGAATAGGTTTAACTTGGCCAGTCGAGCATCATATGGGAGCTTTGTTATTCCAGGAATCAGCTTAGTTGTTGTTCTCCAAACCTTTTCCAAAGACTCGCTCTTTTTTTTTAAGCAGGGGCTAGCCGCTTGTTTGCAGTACTCAAGTTTATGACGCATCAACACTATACAAAGTCCAAAAAGTTTTAGTATCGATGTGACTAAAGACCCTACGTATTAACCACAAAGTTTTAAAACTTTTGGCGGCTATCGCACGGCTGTGTGCAGTAGTCTTTAAGACTTGGCTAACGATGACTCCCAAGTCATTGTGTGTCTGGACAACAGTTAGCTCAGTGTTATTCATCGTGTATGTATCTGTACCCTGATGATCGATACGCATAACAATACACTTGGAAGTATCTATCGGCAACTGCCAGGTTTGGGACCATTCAGATAATTTCTCCGGGTCATTTTGGAGTTCTCAGCTATCACCCTTACTTGGTATCGCTCTCCATATCTTGACATCTTCAGCATAGAGCAGGACCGGTGATGACAGTAGACGAGGAAGGTCATCTAATTATGAGAGGAGTAACACTGACCCCCAAACTATACCTTGGGGCACTTCACCAAGCACAGTTTCTCAGCTAGACAACTTGGATTTCACAAGTACTATCTGTTGGAGCCAAACTAGGAAGTCCCTTATTCACATCAGTAGATTGCCTCCACCCCGGACATTTATTAGCTTACATAATAGCCGGTTGTGCGGAACTTTGTCGAAAGCTTTGCAGAAGCCGATGTAGGCTACGTTTACAGCTAACTTTGGTCCTTAATAGCGCATCAGCTTTCATAAGCCACTAATAAGTTGATGTGACAGGAATAACCTAGTCTAAAACCAAACTGCTTCTCCGAAGGTATCCCGTTTTCATCAAACCACTTAAATAGCTCCTTCCGAATAATCTTTTCTAAAATTTTAACAACCAAATTAGTTAGGCTAACGGGCTGGTAGTCCTCAGGCTTATGTTCAGTGCCTGTTTTGAAGACAGGACTTACTATGCTGTTCTTTTGGGTTATAGGATGGTTTACTAGGGTCTTCAAAACTCAGCACTAAGACCTTTTTAATTCATAGAGATGACCTTTTCCGGTAAGTGTCTTCTGAATCGTTGCTTTACTGAAGACTTCGAGTTTTGTAGAGAAGTTTGCTTCCAGAATAATAAGATAGGGCCCCAGAAGGGTATGACCCAAAGTTAATGGACTAAATTTAGGTTTTTCAAAATGTAAAATATTTCATCTGTTACCTTGAACAAACTACGCATGCAATGTCTTTATAGGAGTGTTGCTGGACGGATGTATTTAGGCGTCTTGACTTCCTATGATCTAAGATCTTGTGCTAATTGTGTTGAAAAGCCATTTTAGTAAACCCTATACCAGTAATTTTGAAGTACATTGCGGTTGATTCGAAAGTACAACTTTCTATGTGATTTTCATGTTGCATTCAGCCTAACTAATAGTATGAAAATAAAGCGTTTCCACCACCACTATAGGAGGGTTAAGAATACAGTAGATCATATACGCAAACTGATCACTTAACCAAATAGGAAATTCAAGCCCACGCTTTATATAGAATGAATTAAAGCGCTATATGCTTACTTATTTAATTATAGGTGGCCTTTTAGCAACGTAAAGCATCCTAAAAACTGGTTTATGTCTTTTTGAATGCTTACAAATGCTCTGTGCTAGGATAATATCTTACGGGCTTCACCGATAATTCAAAAGCAGAATGCAGCAAACTGCGGAGAAAGCCCACCTTCTACTCTTCATGAGCAGTCAGGCCTTGAAATTTGCCATTAGCTAAGTTAGTTCAGGAGGAGGAAACTTGATCTAATTTAAAGAATTCTGGACAGTATTATATTCATGGTTCTATAGTCACTAACAATCAGGTAACGCCGGAAATAGGATATTGTATTAAACGGAAACCCAGGATCCCATTAGAGTGGTTTAGCCTATACTGCAACAAAGAGTTCAAACCGCTCAGCCCGTTACTTATTCGACGCGTTTGAAGTGCTTGTAGATTAATATTATGGTGGAATATGACTTACAGATAAATGGATAGACAAATAAAAAAACAAAGGAACACCATAAAGATACACACATAAGGCTTTCGAATCAATTGCGCCAATGAGCTCAAGTTGTCCGATAGCATTGGATTAATGGATTTGACAATCGTAAGTTCTGTCAGACCTCTTATTACGAATAAGTATAGACAGCTTCTACTCATTACAGGTTGTCAAGTCTTGGGATTCTCTACTATTTGACGTGATCCCAGAATGTCCAAGGGAGTCCTTTAGGAGTCAACTTGATTCCTTTTTAAGAATTGTACTATGTACCTAGATCTCAGTCTGGGGATATAGGTAGATAGACATGGAGGCTCGTTGGACGACAGCTTCCAGTATTCCATCCACAACCATCTGGTCTAGTGATCTATTCTAAATCACTAGATTCTTTAGACTATATTACAAGCAAGTACCGAAATATATATCAATATGCTTTATAGGTTAACCTTGTTTTTATCAATGTCTAGCTAGGTCACTAGTCATTGATATCCGGTTTCAGAACTCTGAATTATGAATAGGTACGGTCGATCTCCACCAAGAATCGATGGGATGGTTTCATTGAAAGTTGATAACTTGGCATACAGAACAACTATTGATGACTTGCGAAGAGTTTTCAGCCGATTCGGTGAAGTTGGTAAGTAATGCGTGTCCTAAAACACGCCGCCTTGTGAAATTTCGTTTATACACCTTTCGTCACAGGTGATATCTACATACCTAGAGATCCCTATACTTTCGAGAGTCGAGGATTTGCTTTCGTTCGATACTGCACTGACCGCGAGGCTGACTGTGCCATACGCGGTATGGATGGTCATAAGGTAGATGGGCGAGAGGTCCGAGTCCAAAGAGCAAAATACGGTCGACCAACTCCAAACCGTCGAAGGTAAGAATCATTTTATTAAAACTGCTTTTGTGCACACCACCATAAGTCACAAGTTACGTGCCATTACACACTTATAGCGATTTAATGATAAGTGAATTCCAAATTAATATAAAAATCATCCATAAAATCTCGGTAATACACAAAAACAATAGCCTATTTCCATGAGATAATCCTTTATGTACTTGAGTACCAAGAATTCAACGCGGCTTTAAGCTGATTCACTTATAAATAGCTGAAGCAAGTAATACGTACTATTATGGCAGGCTGAAGAAAGTATATTGCACTGAATAAACACCTAAGATGAGATTAGCTATGCAATAAGCTACTAAGTGTCAACCGAAAAGATAAATGGTGTCTAGAAGGTTTACTTTTGTTCATCTTTTATTTGTCGTTAATGTTTCTATTACTCAGTTGCAGCACCAGTCACCTATGTATTAAGTAGTAGACTGTGCAAAATTGTTTCTCGACTACTAGGGTTTCCATTGTTTGTGATCTATGTGATGTCTTTGGTTTGGTAAGTGTAAGCTTGACTCACGTAGTCGGATTGTGTAGTCATGTACTGGTTGCGAACAGTTTTGTTAGGTTTAGAAATGTGGTTGGAATTCACCTTGCATTCTATTAGAGCCTGACTCTGGTCAGGTGTCAGAAGGATGCTACATTAAAAGGAGGGTATTTGTGGGGGCAATTTTGCTTCCCAAATAACTCCTACATTGTTTGTTCTCTATAGGGTGTTGTGTGTTTGTGTGGAGTGTGTGTATAGTTGTAGTTTCGAGCAGTGCTAGATTAAAATAAACAATAGTCATTGACGTTTCCCATCCCAGGGTTTGTGCAGTAGCATGTACTTATGTTTATTACGAGTCTCTGTAGACATTGTTAGAGATTGGTGTTGCATTTTCATAGTACCAGGAGATTGTTCTGGTCTCCCAAAATGCTATATTGAAGTAGACGGTCGCTAATGGTATTCACGTGCCTCTAGTACCGTTTCTACACTTGTTTTTCATACAAATTGATTTGATTGATTGGGGATCGTTCTTCTGAGTTCAACCAGTTTGTGGGATTTACTCACCGTAAATTGTGCAGAGTGTGACTCGATAATGTTGCTTGCATATAAGTGCCAGTTGTTACGATGACATGGAAGTGGGGTGTGACTGACTGCTCCAATGTTAAGTGTATTGCGTCTAAAGTGTAATGAGATGTCTATGGTGTTATATGTGATCTGATTGAGCGTTTGCTTGTCAAATGTTGCTGAACAAACTAATGTTTGTTTGATAGCCGCAAATGATGTGGACGATGTCTAATATTGTTTAGTTTAGCATTGAGTGGTTCTATCTAACCCGGTGTTACTATATGGAGATGTGTTCAGGTCGATTATAGTTGGGTGTGGTCATTAGTGTGGTCACCGATAGGGTTAGGTGAATAATGAATATGTCAGACGGTTTGTGTATATGGACCGAAGTGCCGTTAGAATAATGAAGGCAGGTATGTATGTGTTGAACAATTTGTTTTGGGTTGTGCTGCAAGAGGAGTGTTGGATTTTCGCAAGAATTTGCATTGTGTGTTCTTGTGTTTGACGTTGATCAGGAATTGTTTTGTTGGTGTATAAGTTGGCGGATTCGACACGCGAGATCCTGAATAGAAGGAGAGAGCGGGGAAAATTATGTGTTTGTTCTACCGACTGTTAGTTTGAGTGATGGTGTCGACCGCTTGTAAGTGTCGTGCAGTTTTCACTCGGGATCAATGTAGTAGAGTGGTGTTAGTTGGTTGTAAGTTTCCACTGAGTCGTATAGTCGTTCATTTGTTGGGAATTAACCTTCTTTCATCCACGTGGGTGTCTGTGCAGATTTGATTACGTGTATGTTGCTCGTGTTATTTATTTGTGACACGTAACGTGTTTGGCACAATTGAGTGCTAGGAAACGCACTACATGATACGAAGTGAGAATAGGTGTTCAAAGAGACAGAATGGCTTGGGAAGTCCTGTAGTCACGACGAGAATGAGGACGTTGAGAGATACAGCCCAAGTTTCAGAGGAACATCAAAGAGGACTGCCGAATAATCACCACTGGCTTTTATTCTGAGCCATGTTCAGTGACGTCTCACTGCACTGAGTTGTACGATTGGTGGGAGGAGGACCATTGTTGAGGAGTGTTTGTTGACTTTCGTTGTGGCCGTGGTCGGGACTTAGCTATGTTTTGATGATATATATAGAGACTGTGCCGGTGTTTTTCCAATTGGTGGGATAATGGAATAATGTATTGTTGTGCTTGTGTGATAAACAGAGTTAACAGTTGGTGCCCCACAGCATTGGTGGTGATATGTTGTTTGTACTCAGCTGATGAATTGATAATTGGTCGTCACCCATTTTGTGTTTCAAGTGGGCATCATGCCTTTCGGATTTGTGCAACGTGTTATTCTTATTAAGGGTACAATTGTTAAATGTTAGGCTTCGATTAGTGAGGTTGCTATTTTTTTACGTCAAGACAATTTGATTGAGCAATGAATTTGTGGGCGGATACCATATAGGTAGTAATAGAAGAAGGAGGGTAGGCGGGCGTTGACGGGAAAGTGAGGAAATGCAGGGAAAGTTTTTATTCGGTGGTGTGAATGGATGTGGCATGAATTAAGTTATGGGCTTTGGTCTGTTGAATTTATGCCTGCTTAATGAAGCGTCACGGAAGTGATATTGGATTTCGCAGCAATCTTCTGGTGGCTTTTGAGGGGAGCGCGTTATATCTCGTAAGAGTTGCCGTTGCACGCCTGTGAGGAGGCGAATTGATGTGGAACTATGAAGAGTGGTCAGTGTGCAGTGCTGTAACAGGAGCTGGAGTATACACGTATGTGTAGTAGAACCAAATAATAGAGATGTTTAGTGAAGGGCATCTGACGAAGGCTGGTTAACCAGCCTAGTGCTTCAGTGATGCCAAAATGAACGTAGCAATCACTGGCGGTGTGCATTGCATCCCGTTAAAATTGCTTCTACATATTGACACATGCTTCTTTTTGTGCATTCCGCTAGAGCCTGATTGTAGTCGGGTGTAATAGGAATGCTATATTGAAAGGATTGATTTATTGGCAAAACTACTGTCTACTGTGATTCTCTCCTACAAAGTTGCGGATTCAGATGTTAGATTTTTGTGCATTTTCATAGTACCAGGACATTGTTCTGGTCTCCCAAAATGCTATATTGAAGTAGACGGTCGCTAATGGTATTCACGTGCCTCTAGTACCGTTTCTACACTTGTTTTTCATACAAATTGATTTGATTGATTAGGGATTGCTCGTTTGGGTTTGACCAGGTGATTGCCGGACATTTGGACAGTCCATATAGATGAGATGACAAATAGAAAGCGTTGTGAATGAGAAGTATACTATTGGGATTTAGCCTACCGTGAGTGGAGATTATCTACTATTTGCGTATTATATGCAAACCAATCTTATGTGGATGCCTGTTAGTCTGTATGAAAAATTTCCGACGGTGAAGTTTTTATATGTCTAGTGTACTGTGTGCATTGATTATTGTTTTTTACTTGGTAATAAGTGTAGGCATAGCTGGTTAATTATTCTCTCTGTATTTCAATTTATCTTGTTATATTTGTTATGCTTCTCTCTTTAATTATTAGTGTCGCTTGCATGCATCATTTATCAATATTTTTATGTAACTGTATTCTCGCAAATGAGTTCACTTTTAACTTTTCAGACGATCGGTTACTCCGCGACGTAATGGACGGCGTTCTCGTTCTTTCTCGTCTGGTCGTGACAGGCGGTCACCACGTAGAATGAACGATCGATATCGTCTTCCTTCTTCTCCCCGACATTATAGTCGGTCGTTATCAAGAGAACGACGTTGACTGCTGACGCTTATTTAACTTGTTCATTGTTTTTATTGGTTTATACATATACATCATGAATCTATCATCTAACTCAGCCTTTTGCTTTTCTTATCAGCTAATATCCTGCCGATATGGATTGCCTGTATGCTATGCTGATACATGGGAGATTGCTGTTGTTCGCAGTGTCAGGCGAGACAGTTTTGATCAGTTAGCTGTTTGCAGATTTTTAACTCGGAGTTTAGCTGTTAATCTGGAAACATAGTTGTGCTGGTGTGCAGTTAAATCTTTCCGGCAAAGCGGCTGTCTGATGGTGAGACTAGCAGGTTTTGCTGTGGTGCTGTAGCTGTTCACACATTGTGTTATGGGGATTAGTCGGTGTAGGTCTAAAGGTTGCTCTACAGAGTAACCAAGATAGCCAATTCTCAAAGCGTGAACAGAATTTGCTTGCGGACATTTGGTGTTGACAACCAAGGTTGTTCATGCTGGTGGGTGTGTGAGCTGTGGGCGTGGTTACATGACTGCAGCAGGATTGCCGAAAAGTGGTGGTTCTAACCCCGTTCTTCGGGCCTAGATTCTGGTTATCCTGATGCGTACGGTAAGCCACTGGAGTAATTGATAAAACATTTTCCAAAATATATAACAGATAACCGTATTATGACGTGTCCGAAGAATTTGCGCCTTCGGTAAGGCATTTCACGTCTGCCTTTTATTGTGCGTTGGGTATGTAACGTTAACGTATTGTATTGTGTCGTATCAGTCGTCGTGATTCTAATGCAATGTTTTGACAATGCGCTGAACATGGTTGTTTCAGTGTTGTGAGTATATATCAACCGATAAGTTGCGGGTTCTAACCCCACCTCACCTACCTCGGTTTGGGGAATTCGGTTAGTATCATTAGCTTTCACACAAACAGTGCGACTCAAAGTCGAGTTTACAAGCCTGTTCTTAATAAATGGGTTACGCTACATACTTCATATGCTTAGTTTAAGGAGGTCTTCGTGTGTTTGATGGGCTTGTCCAGCAGCCTGATAATATGCTTTATGTATTTAAATGTTGACGCTCACTAGTTTCTTAGTCTAAATTTAACGGAATTTTATGCGGACTGGCTTGAACATCGATAAAGATGGTGGGATATATTTATTTTGGAAGTGTGTAAATGCTATATTCCATGGAATAAAGATCAGACTGGAGTTTTTCTACGAGGACAGTTTGTTGTAGGTCACCAACAAAGAACAGGTTGATGTATCGGTTTCATGTTCGGGTGTTGACTGTGAGGTGATCTCTTCAGGATAAATTGTCAATTGGGATTCCAGCACTGAACGTAACGAAGTATCATGGGTATACACAGATTGCATGTGTAAATGTCGAGACAAGTCAGTGATCACAATGGTGCGTTTGGTAGGATCTGTTGTGTTGGGATAAATTGGTTGTTTCGACGATGCACGTCGGTACTGAGTGTCAACCGAAAAGATAAATGGTGTCTAGAAGGTTTACTTTTGTTCATCTTTTATTTGTCGTTAATGTTTCTATTACTCAGTTGCAGCACCAGTCACCTATGTATTAAGTAGTAGACTGTGCAAAATTGTTTCTCGACTACTAGGGTTTCCATTGTTTGTGATCTATGTGATGTCTTTGGTTTGGTAAGTGTAAGCTTGACTCACGTAGTCGGATTGTGTAGTCATGTACTGGTTGCGAACAGTTTTGTTAGGTTTAGAAATGTGGTTGGAATTCACCTTGCATTCTATTAGAGCCTGACTCTGGTCAGGTGTCAGAAGGATGCTACATTAAAAGGAGGGTATTTGTGGGGGCAATTTTGCTTCCCAAATAACTCCTACATTGTTTGTTCTCTATAGGGTGTTGTGTGTTTGTGTGGAGTGTGTGTATAGTTGTAGTTTCGAGCAGTGCTAGATTAAAATAAACAATAGTCATTGACGTTTCCCATCCCAGGGTTTGTGCAGTAGCATGTACTTATGTTTATTACGAGTCTCTGTAGACATTGTTAGAGATTGGTGTTGCATTTTCATAGTACCAGGAGATTGTTCTGGTCTCCCAAAATGCTATATTGAAGTAGACGGTCGCTAATGGTATTCACGTGCCTCTAGTACCGTTTCTACACTTGTTTTTCATACAAATTGATTTGATTGATTGGGGATCGTTCTTCTGAGTTCAACCAGTTTGTGGGATTTACTCACCGTAAATTGTGCAGAGTGTGACTCGATAATGTTGCTTGCATATAAGTGCCAGTTGTTACGATGACATGGAAGTGGGGTGTGACTGACTGCTCCAATGTTAAGTGTATTGCGTCTAAAGTGTAATGAGATGTCTATGGTGTTATATGTGATCTGATTGAGCGTTTGCTTGTCAAATGTTGCTGAACAAACTAATGTTTGTTTGATAGCCGCAAATGATGTGGACGATGTCTAATATTGTTTAGTTTAGCATTGAGTGGTTCTATCTAACCCGGTGTTACTATATGGAGATGTGTTCAGGTCGATTATAGTTGGGTGTGGTCATTAGTGTGGTCACCGATAGGGTTAGGTGAATAATGAATATGTCAGACGGTTTGTGTATATGGACCGAAGTGCCGTTAGAATAATGAAGGCAGGTATGTATGTGTTGAACAATTTGTTTTGGGTTGTGCTGCAAGAGGAGTGTTGGATTTTCGCAAGAATTTGCATTGTGTGTTCTTGTGTTTGACGTTGATCAGGAATTGTTTTGTTGGTGTATAAGTTGGCGGATTCGACACGCGAGATCCTGAATAGAAGGAGAGAGCGGGGAAAATTATGTGTTTGTTCTACCGACTGTTAGTTTGAGTGATGGTGTCGACCGCTTGTAAGTGTCGTGCAGTTTTCACTCGGGATCAATGTAGTAGAGTGGTGTTAGTTGGTTGTAAGTTTCCACTGAGTCGTATAGTCGTTCATTTGTTGGGAATTAACCTTCTTTCATCCACGTGGGTGTCTGTGCAGATTTGATTACGTGTATGTTGCTCGTGTTATTTATTTGTGACACGTAACGTGTTTGGCACAATTGAGTGCTAGGAAACGCACTACATGATACGAAGTGAGAATAGGTGTTCAAAGAGACAGAATGGCTTGGGAAGTCCTGTAGTCACGACGAGAATGAGGACGTTGAGAGATACAGCCCAAGTTTCAGAGGAACATCAAAGAGGACTGCCGAATAATCACCACTGGCTTTTATTCTGAGCCATGTTCAGTGACGTCTCACTGCACTGAGTTGTACGATTGGTGGGAGGAGGACCATTGTTGAGGAGTGTTTGTTGACTTTCGTTGTGGCCGTGGTCGGGACTTAGCTATGTTTTGATGATATATATAGAGACTGTGCCGGTGTTTTTCCAATTGGTGGGATAATGGAATAATGTATTGTTGTGCTTGTGTGATAAACAGAGTTAACAGTTGGTGCCCCACAGCATTGGTGGTGATATGTTGTTTGTACTCAGCTGATGAATTGATAATTGGTCGTCACCCATTTTGTGTTTCAAGTGGGCATCATGCCTTTCGGATTTGTGCAACGTGTTATTCTTATTAAGGGTACAATTGTTAAATGTTAGGCTTCGATTAGTGAGGTTGCTATTTTTTTACGTCAAGACAATTTGATTGAGCAATGAATTTGTGGGCGGATACCATATAGGTAGTAATAGAAGAAGGAGGGTAGGCGGGCGTTGACGGGAAAGTGAGGAAATGCAGGGAAAGTTTTTATTCGGTGGTGTGAATGGATGTGGCATGAATTAAGTTATGGGCTTTGGTCTGTTGAATTTATGCCTGCTTAATGAAGCGTCACGGAAGTGATATTGGATTTCGCAGCAATCTTCTGGTGGCTTTTGAGGGGAGCGCGTTATATCTCGTAAGAGTTGCCGTTGCACGCCTGTGAGGAGGCGAATTGATGTGGAACTATGAAGAGTGGTCAGTGTGCAGTGCTGTAACAGGAGCTGGAGTATACACGTATGTGTAGTAGAACCAAATAATAGAGATGTTTAGTGAAGGGCATCTGACGAAGGCTGGTTAACCAGCCTAGTGCTTCAGTGATGCCAAAATGAACGTAGCAATCACTGGCGGTGTGCATTGCATCCCGTTAAAATTGCTTCTACATATTGACACATGCTTCTTTTTGTGCATTCCGCTAGAGCCTGATTGTAGTCGGGTGTAATAGGAATGCTATATTGAAAGGATTGATTTATTGGCAAAACTACTGTCTACTGTGATTCTCTCCTACAAAGTTGCGGATTCAGATGTTAGATTTTTGTGCATTTTCATAGTACCAGGACATTGTTCTGGTCTCCCAAAATGCTATATTGAAGTAGACGGTCGCTAATGGTATTCACGTGCCTCTAGTACCGTTTCTACACTTGTTTTTCATACAAATTGATTTGATTGATTAGGGATTGCTCGTTTGGGTTTGACCAGGTGATTGCCGGACATTTGGACAGTCCATATAGATGAGATGACAAATAGAAAGCGTTGTGAATGAGAAGTATACTATTGGGATTTAGCCTACCGTGAGTGGAGATTATCTACTATTTGCGTATTATATGCAAACCAATCTTATGTGGATGCCTGTTAGTCTGTATGAAAAATTTCCGACGGTGAAGTTTTTATATGTCTAGTGTACTGTGTGCATTGATTATTGTTTTTTACTTGGTAATAAGTGTAGGCATAGCTGGTTAATTATTCTCTCTGTATTTCAATTTATCTTGTTATATTTGTTATGCTTCTCTCTTTAATTATTAGTGTCGCTTGCATGCATCATTTATCAATATTTTTATGTAACTGTATTCTCGCAAATGAGTTCACTTTTAACTTTTCAGACGATCGGTTACTCCGCGACGTAATGGACGGCGTTCTCGTTCTTTCTCGTCTGGTCGTGACAGGCGGTCACCACGTAGAATGAACGATCGATATCGTCTTCCTTCTTCTCCCCGACATTATAGTCGGTCGTTATCAAGAGAACGACGTTGACTGCTGACGCTTATTTAACTTGTTCATTGTTTTTATTGGTTTATACATATACATCATGAATCTATCATCTAACTCAGCCTTTTGCTTTTCTTATCAGCTAATATCCTGCCGATATGGATTGCCTGTATGCTATGCTGATACATGGGAGATTGCTGTTGTTCGCAGTGTCAGGCGAGACAGTTTTGATCAGTTAGCTGTTTGCAGATTTTTAACTCGGAGTTTAGCTGTTAATCTGGAAACACTCAAGTGTTCGTCACTAGTTTCCCATCGCTCTTTGGTTTTATTAATACCTCAACCTTGATTACTTCGTTTCGTTCAATATCTGCTAATTGAATTATATTCCAGAAGGCCACTTTACCAAATGTTTGGTTCGCTGTGTTTTTCTCCTGTGTTCTTTTATTTTGTATCGCACACGGATGCACGGTTTTTATACTAAATTCTCATTTTAACAAAGGATTGTTTCTGTAGGTTAATAATTATTTGACCCATGAAATGAATTACTAAACTATTAGTTAATATTAAATGACGCATCCTAGTCTTATAGCTACATAATATAACCCATGGATGTTATTTAGCTAAAACTATCAAAGCTTTCACTGGTTTTAACGTGGAATTGTAAGTGACATTGAAGAATTATCTAGGAAATGGCAAACGCCCAATTTTGATTTATTCGAAAATCTACATATCGGTCATCTGCTTCTTGTGTGTTTAGAACAAACAAGTGAAAGTATATTTTCATTTAGCGTTTAACACGGTTTGTATGATCATATTTTTATAAACCATTAAGTTATGAATAGAAACGAAATTTATCGTCTAATAGCTGTTTTTGATGCATTGATCATAGCAATATTTCTGATGATTGGATGACCTGTATATATAGCTACAATGCATATATGAAGCCACTCAAAGATCATAGAAAGAACGCATCTCTAATGATTGAGTTTTAAATAAAGTAAACAATGTTTAGATCTTCACTGTATAGCTTAGTTAGTCTTTATTTCAAGGTTAAACTCCACAAAATACAGAGCAATCTGTCTTTTAACAAATGCAAAATTCGTTTATTCCAATAAGCTTTATTTTAATCTTGTAACCTGATGAATAATTCAGGTACTATTGAAATATATGTATATAGTTTACAGCATTATGAATAGCTTAGAAAATGCAATAAGGCTGTACCTAATAATGTACTGAAAAAAGTTGCACTCTTACAGCAAGTTTATAAAGTAAAATCAGACTACAGGCAACATAAAAATATATACGTGTTTTTTACGAAATTTAAAGCAATTAGTCCCTTTTATAAATTTCGATAATTTCCGTCTTCTTATTACATTATCGGTATTTTTTTACAAAAATATTTGTCAATAAATTCTTTTTCCTTTCTGTAAGTAGGAATGCCCTTATAGCTTGTTCAATAGAGTTTTACTGTACACTAATTTTCTATACTGCAACAGGTATATTATACCATAAATATTATTCACGATGAAATGTTTACGTATACAAATATTTATATCTGTTATAAAATACACCGATGTATCAGGAAGAAATTTACTCATACGATAATGATGACCAAGATACAACTATTAATGAAGAAACAACATTGAAACGATAGCAAGTACTTGTATCTCAGAATAATGTTAGATATATACTATGTTGTTTATTTGTGTGCCAATATGTTTCAACGATACATAGATCCTAGTCTTCTTATACTATTAGATATAACATTAAGAACGAAAATATAATTCTTTTATTATAAACAAATGTTCATATGTTATTTTATAAAACATATACTTATAAAAATGAATTAGGCTCTGGTTCATCTTGTGCATTACTTTCATCAACTGAAATCACATCAAAATCACTCTCTCTATATATAAGTGGACAATAAACATGTGAAAATGTCAAACCAACACCATGTGAATCAGAATCAATTATTGAATGAGTACAAGTTTTTGAATTTGTTATCACACTAGTACTGTTTTTACTAGTACTACTAATAGTACTATTACTAATATTATCATTACTTTTATTACAATAATCTTCATTATTATTATTGTGCAACATATTAAGATTTACACAATGTATAATATTTTGTTTTACATTATTAATCGTATCTTCTTTGCGTTTATTATAATTTTGAATACATTGTTCATGTAAATTATTGTTTAAACAATGTTTATTTGTTAATAACCGATTTGAATAAATTGAATGTGATTGTGATGTAATTTGTTTAGTATTTTGAGAATTCTGATTATTATTATTATTATCATTATTATTGTTAGTTAATTGAAATATCCAATTTTTTATAACTGAATCATGTGAATAATAAGCACGAAAAGTTTTGTAAATACATGATGGATTATTTAAATCATATTTTATTTCTGTTTGACAATTTGTTGGTTGTAATGAATTAATGAATGGATCATTATTTTTAGTGATTAAAGATGATTGTTGAAATTGAGTTTCTATAGGTTTATAAAGTAGATTATTATCTGTATTGAAAGGATTTGATATGACTAAATAGTTTGGTGTTTCATTAATAGCTGGTACTGAAGAATAATTCATTTTGATATAATCAGTTGTATTTTCTGATTTAATAATTTTAATTTTGTTTATACATTGAGGGGAATGATGAATAGTTGTTGACAGCAGATCGTTTTTCATTTCATTTAATTGTAGATAATCTTTATTTTTCCATTTTGAACTGGTGCATAAATCAACTGGAGCTGAAACAGCTTCAGAAGATAAATCTGTATTGTCAATTGATATTAGTCGTTTTGTAGGATTACAAAATAACGTAGATGAACTTCTCCTTCTACGTATACGATAATAAAGATTATTATGAGGTAAAGATCTTGATTTATGTTGAGTTGTAAATGATAATTTAGATTTTGACGGATCATAAGAATGATTTATTGATTTATTTTGTTTTAATGAATACTTTTTCTGAAGTTGTTTACTAATAGGGCATATTAATAGGAACCAAATGTTTAATTGTTGTTTGAAATGTTTATTCAATGTAAGATAAACAAAAAAATTAATAGAATAAGTAAATAAACCTAACATATGCGCTATTGAACGATAAATCAAATATGGAGGACAACATCTCCATCGTTTGCATACATTACCAAAATGTCTATTAAATGCTTCAAATATAGTAATATATGCAAACGCTTGTGGTATTTGTCCGGCTATGAATAAACAAATAATAACAATTAGTAAAATGGTTAATTTACGCTGTGCCGCTTGCCATCTAGCGCTTGAAGCTTTATTAACTTTTGTAGTGCGTAAATTTGCTTTATGTAATTTAAAACGGCCGGGTTTTTTATCGGACATATCTGGTAATAAGTATCTTTGACGACGTTTATTTGCTATATGTATGAAACGTAATAAACAAAAATTGACGAAGCATAAGAATAATAACGGTAAAACTTGTATTAACATAATACGTGTCCATGAGAAAATTTTATAAAAGTCTGAATTACCGAATTCTGTAAGCCCAGTGAAAACTTGTATTTGACCCTGATTGTATTGATTATCAATTGAAGTTAAATTATTGAAGTGGTTTGATATAGTATGCAACCACTCACTCGTTTTATTATTGTGCATTTGTTTAATTGTTGATTTTTTTATAGGAATATTTTTCCTGACAACTTTTTGAACAAAGAATAGTGGCAAATTAAGTAGTATACTGAAAAATGTTATAAAAATTAGTGAATGTTTGAAGTTACAATTTCGGCAAGCATGCAGTTGTACGCATTTATTTAAACTAGAATGTCCTATCGGTCTATCAAAATGTGAATGGTGTAATTTATGTAAGATGCATAAAGACTTTGGCGTTGGAACATTGGTCAAACTATTTCTGATATGTTGTTTTAATACTGATAAATTACAACAGCTGGAGAGCTTTTTATACCATTTCAAATTATCCACCGTTGTTTGCTGTTCCCGATGCTGTTGCTGTTCCCGATGCTGTTGCTGTTCCACTATATTTTCTTCTACTGTTCCAATTGAATCCTTTTTTGGCAATTTTTTATCTTCATGAAAAGCTTCTTGATATTCTACAGTATAAGTTGAATGGTTTGTATTGTACAATATTTCACTTTTTTGTTTCAAAGGTAATGTGTTAGATGATTGCATCCTGAGTTTATTTTGATATACAGAACCTATTTGGCTCATAGTTAAGTAACGTTCTACAGATAAAACTAGAGTAAACCATACACTTGCTGTCTCTGAAATATTTCCAACTGGAAAGAGAATATACGCATTATAATAGAGTAGATAAATACGAAATTTTCTGAACTCTGGATGCTGACAATAAACGAAGTATTTGCCGCACCTACAAGCAGATACAATGAAAAATAGAAAAGCGGAAGATTTTTATGTAGTTTAAATCAATTAATCCTATCATAATTGTCTGCTGAAATAAGCTTGTTAATTAATAAATTGTAGCCAAAGTTATGCAATTTTTGTGTGATGAACTGTCTCATTTCAGCTGGTTATTTCGTATCTACAGATGAATCCGAAAATTTCTAATTTAACCTTTTCAAATGAGTAAGATTACTGGTTCACTTATCATACTCAGAATTTTGTTTAGCGAAATCTCTTCAGTTTCACTGATGTTATGTTAAATCAATGGTCTATAGATTTAAGAAGCATGATTGGTTTCTGCATTTATATATTGCTATTTTGATGCTTGTCTAGATAAGGTGAAAATTCATTCAGAATTAATGCTTAACAGAAAACGCTAGAAAGTAATAACTGTACATTGCTTCTTAGTTTTCATTAGTTCCCTAACATCACTCCGTAACTTAAACTATAAAGTCCATTTATATTAATAATGATTGTGTCCTCAATAATGATTAATTCTGAGAAATCCTAATGAATAAGGCTTGCTAAGTAGAGTTCAGTCATGTTGGATATGAGGCAGTTGCCAACCCACAAACATTGGGAGATAGCTGGCCAAATTTGAAAACTTAGATAATGCAGTGATCTTGTGGGCTGTTAGAGGTATGTAGGCGTTTGCCACTTCCCGGTCGCCCACACCGTTGAAGGGATCTTCTAGAGGCATCTGAAAAGGAAATTGGGTTAGGGGTGATCTTGATGACCTGAGAGCGTGACAACAGTGCCCAAGAGACATGTGCTTGAGGTCGCTCACGCACATCACCTTTTTGTGAGTAGTTTTCGTGTAAGCTCCGTACTTATAAACTATCTGGTACTGACTCAGTGGTTTGGTGGTTAAGCACAAATCTGAAGGGTCATAGACATGCTCTGCTATAAGATATACAAAAGATTAAGTCAGAT